ACATTTCAAAAACAAAGATGCAGGCATGAAAAAAGATATTCCATGCCAACAGAAACCAAAAAAGAGCTGATGTAGCTATCTTAATATCAGATACAATAGACTTTAACACAAAAACTGTTAATAGAGACAAAGAAGGGCACTATGTAATGATCAAAGGATCAATTCAACAGGAAGATGTTACTATTATAAATGTACATGCCCCTAATTACAGGGCACCTGGTTATTTAAGAGAAATGTTAAGGGACTTAAAGGGAGACTTATACTCCAATACAATAGTACTGGGGGACTTCAATACTCCACTTTAAGCAATGGATAGATCAACCAGACAGAAAATCAACAAGCAAACAGCAGATTTAAATGACACTATGGACCAAATGGACCTAATAGAAATCTACAGAACTTTTCATCCTACAGTTGCAGAATACACATGCTTCTCAGCAGTACATGGAACATTCTCTATGATTGACCACATACTAGGCCATAAAGCAAGTCTGAGCAAATTCAAAAAAATCGAAATACCATGCATCTTCTCGGACCACACAGAATGAACCTGGAAATCAGCAACTCAGGAATCTCTAGAGCGTATGCAAACACATGGAGACTGAACAACATGCTCCTGAATGAACAGTTGGTCATAGGAGAAATCAAAAAATTTCGAGAAACAAATGAAGACGACACCACAACATATCAAAACTTATGGGATGCAACAAAAGCAGTGTTAAGAGAAAGGCTTATAGCAATAGGTGCGTGAATTAAGAAATTGGAAAGCAACAAATACATGAGCTATCAATGCATCTCAAAGATCAAGAAAAACCACAACAAACCAAACCTAAAACTAGTAGGAGAAAAGAAATAATTAAAATTAGAGAAGAAATAAACAAAATTGAATCCAAAAAAAATTATAAAAGAGCAAAAAAAATGAAGAGCTGGTTTTTTGAAAACATAAACAAAATTGATACAATATTGGCCTAACTGACCAAAAAAAAGGAGAGTGAAAACCCAAATCGATTATATCAGAGATGAAGAAGGAAATGTAACAAATGACACCACAGAAATTTTAAAAAATCAGAAATTACTACAAAGTACTATGTATGCCAACAAACTGAGAAACCCAGAAGAAATGGATAGCTTCCTGGACACATACAGCCTACCTATTTTGAGCCATGAAAACACTGAAAACCTAAACAGACCCATAACAAAGACAGAAATTGAATCAGTAATAAAAGTCCTCTCAACCAAGAAAAGCCCAGGACCAGATGGCTTCACTGCTGAATTTTACCAGACATTTAAAAAAGAACTACCTCCAATCCCTGGAGCATGGACAGTCTCTTCAACAAATGGTCCTGGGAAAACTGGATCTCCATATGCAAAAGTATGAAGCAAGATCCTTACCTTACACCTTACACAAGAATCCACTCAACATGCATTAAAGATCTAAATGTATGACCCAACTCCATCAAATTATTAGAAAACATTGGAAAAAACCTGCAAGAATTTGGCACAGGCAAAGAGTTCTTGGAAAATACCCAGAGGTGCAGGCAGTCAAAGCCAAAATTAACAAATAGAATTACTTCAAATTGAGAAGTTTCTGTAACACAAAAGAAACAGGAAAGTGAGGAGGCAATTGACAGAATGGGAGAAATTTTTTGCAAACTGTACAAATGATAAAGGATTAACAACCAGAATCTACAAAGAGATTAAGAAACTCTATAACAACAAAACAAACAATCCAGTTAAGAAATGGGCTATGGACTTAAACAGACATTTTTCAGAAGAAGAAATCCAAATGGCCAACAGACACATGAAAAAATGCTCAGGAACACTTGTCATCAGGGAAATGCAAATCAAAACCACAATGAGGTTTCAATTCACCCTGGTTAATATGGCTTTCAGACAGAAATCAACAAACAAATGCTAAAGAGGATGTGGGAAAAAAAGATACCCTAAGCCACTGTGTTGGGAATGCAAACTGGTAAAGCCACAATGGAAGACAGCCTGGAGATACCTCAGAAATCTAAATACAGTACTACAATGTGACCCAGCCATCCTACTCCTGGGAATTTACCCAAGGGAAATGAAATCAGCAAATAAAAGAGCTATCTGCACCTCCATGTTTATTGCAAGTCAATTCATAATACCTAAGACATGGAATCAACCTAAATGCCCATCAACGGGAGACTGGATAAAGAAAGTATGAGATATGTACTCTATGGAATACTACACAGTGGTAAAAAAAATCTGATAAATTGCAACAAAATGGATAAATCTGGAAAACAATATACTTAGTGAAATAAGCCAGTCCCAAAGGGACAAATACCACATGTTCTCTCTGATATGTGACAACAAACAGACCACCTAAAAAGGAACCTGTAGAAGTGAAACTGACACTATGAGAAGCAATGACTTGAACAGCCCTTGTCTTGAGTGTCGAAGAAAAGTTTATTATTTTATTTTTTTTACTATTTTCTTTTTCTACTTAATACCATTGGTTGAATGCTTTACTTAATTCAGAATTGTTCACAGATATTTAAATTCAATTGAAAAGAGATCCCAATAAGAATAAGAGTAACTGAGGGAGGAGCTTTACAGTTCGGCACACATTCCCACGGACCTACTCCTAAGGGTAAAGCTAAAAATTTGCTATGGGACTCCAAATCCCATTAAGCTGGGTGGTACTAACACCATCTTACATGTTAAAGTGGTCATATTAAGTGTGTAACCGATCATATAGATAGGAATAAGTGTCAAAGGGATCACATATATAAGACCAAGTGTCTGGTAATAACAATAGATAGAATTAAAAAGGGGAAAATGATACAACATAGGAAGCAGGCCACACAGCAGACTCATAGAATGACAAACACTCTAAATAGCACTCTGACTTCAGAATCAGCCCTAAGGCATTCAGATCTGGCTGCAAAGCCCATGAGAGTATTTCAGGCATGGAAAGCCACGACATTGTGGCAAAAAATGATCTACATGAAGGGTCTTTGTCAGTGAGATCCCAGTGGAAAGAATAGGCCATCAAAGAAGGATATACTTTTCCCTGAAGGGAGGAGAGAACTTTCCACTTTGCTTATGGCCCTGTCTAAATACTGATGTAGTTTGTGGAATCAAAAGGCTTCCATATTGTCGGTGGCTCATGACAAGAGCCTCGGGTGATCACTGACATCATAAATAAGAATGTCAATTGTTGGCTGATGCCACAGCTCACTAGGCTAATCCTCCACCTTGTGGCACTGGCACCCAGGGTTCTAGTCCCGGTCGGGGCGCCGGATTCTGTCCCGGTTGCCCCTCTTCCAGGCCAGCTCTCTGCTGTGGCCCGGGAAGGCAGTGGAGGATGGCCCAAGTGCTTGGGCCCTGCACCTGCATGGGAGACCAGAAGAAGCACCTGGCTCCTGCCTTCGGATCAGCGCGGTGCGGCCGCCGCACACCAGCCGTGGCGGCCATTGAGGGTGAACCAACAGCAAAAGGAAGACCTTTCTCTCTGTCTCTCTCTCTCTCACTATCCACTCTGCCTGTCAAAAAAAAAAAAAAAAAAAAAAAAAAAAAGAATGTCAATTGTTAAATCAACAACAGGAGTCATTGTGCACTTACTCTCCATATAGGACCTCTGTCCTTAATGAGTTGTACTATGAGAATTAACTATAAAACTTACCTTCAAACAGTTCTTTATCCTTTGTGTGTCTGTGTGGGTGCAAACTGTTGAAATCTTTACTTAGTATAGAGTTTCTCTTCTGTATGTAAAGATTATTAAAAATGAATCTTAAGAATGGGATGGGATGGGAGAGGGAGTAGGAAGTGGGATGGGAGTGTGGATGGAAGGATGGGTATGGGAAGAAGAACCGCTATATTCCTAAAGCTGTACCTATGAAACTTGTATTCATTAAATAAAAGCTTTCTAGAAGAAAATAAATGAAAGAGTAACCCTCAAAGTGACTGTATATGGAGAAAGGTTGTACTTGAGGTTAAATGAAGTCATAAGAAGGGGGCCCTAATCCAGCTCAGTCAGTGTCCCTGTAAGAAGAAACATCATGGAGCTCACATACAACTCTACCATACTATGACACAGTAAGAAGGCAGGAAACCACCTGCAAACCAGGAATACAGCCCAAACCAGGAATCCAACACCCTGACCTTGGACTTCTCAGATTCCAGAACTATGAGAAATAAATTTCTGTTGCTGTACCCAGTCTGTGGTATTTTGTTATGGCAGGCCTACCTAAGACACTTGTCAATTTTGCTCTATTGGTGTTGCCCTCCTCAAACCCTCCTCTACTTTCTCACAAAAATGATCTTCCACACACAAAATATAAAGACAGCTCTCTGCTAAAAGACTCTTAACAACACAACACTGCCTAGAAGATAAAAGATGAACTCGTGTGCGGCATGGAAAACAGACCCAGTCTTTCCCCCTCCTTAACCACTCCACAAACTCTAATTATCTGAACAGGTTGTGCCTGCCTGTTCTCTCACAATTGTGTTTTCGGACACATGCTGTTTGCCCAGCAGGAACACCCTTCCCAACCTGGAGACTGTACCAGCAAGCTCCTATTCAATCTTGAGTTTCCAACTCATACTCTGCTTCCGTTAACTTGTATTCCCATTATCTTTAAATATATACCTATAAAAGTATTGATCTTATATACTATGATTACTCATCATTACTCATTTGCATGTCTATAAGCCTCTTGAGGTCATCAAATGCATCCTTTTCATCTATGTAATCTATAGAACCCTGACATATAGTACTTGTGTTATAAATGGATAAATGAAGGAAAAAAAAAAAAACAGAAGCAGATCCTTAACTGATGCTCCAAAGAATATCTGATGCTTCTTATTTTTGTAGTAGGTTATATTATTAGTAGTATGATATAATGGTATTCGATCAAATCATCTGTAATATACAATAAATAGTCATAAACAGCAATAAATAGTCCTCCAGTTACCAAGACTCATTTAAGTGATAGCTATACATTAAATTTTCTTACTATCCTTACCTCCTTCAAAACTTCAACACTGTGCTCTAAAAGGCGAATGAAAGAAGAGCATTCCCCAGTTATCTGTAAGCTGACTTCACAGACACACAGCAGTTGAAGGGTCAGCTGAGCAAGATGAATTTTCCAGAAAACAGGATGACGCAAAAGGCTTAAATATAATTCTTCAATAAACACCATCACTTCAGTTGTCTGTATCAAATCTTTCATCTGTTTAAAAATGTCATTATTCAATATTAAAATAACATGCAAATCAAAGGATAAGCCATACAAGCAGCTTTTAACATAAATTACTTTTTCTCTACACCAAAAAGTCTTAAAGGAGATAAAGAAAGTTACCATAACTCAATGAAGGTTAAATCATACAACTCTTCATCTTCATTTTGTCACTATTTTTGTTGCTAATGCCTGGCAAAAATTTTTTTCATCTATTTTTCTAGCTTCTCTACAAGCAGATGTCTTAAGACAAATTACATTGACATTGTCAAGATGTTGGGTGAAATTAATTAAAGCTGGTTTTGAGTTCTCCAAATAAATTCTCCTTTCTGCAGTTCCAGCAAAGATAGCTGGTAGTTCAGGGTCAGAAGGCTATTCTGACACACTACTAAACCCTTCTCCTGCAGGAGACCTGCTCAGACAGCCTTAAGTAACATCATGTCCACACTTGACCTATTCAAACAATAGGGTATCTTCTCCAGAGGCTGATGTATTAGGAAGGACTTGGGTGCCCCTGAAAAGCTCAATTCAAATCCAGCTGTTCTGATCAAAATTCTGGAGTTAGTATAAAGATATGGTCCTGCTAAAAGACACATTGGCATTTTCCAGAGATTACAAACAATGAACAATCTGCTTCAATCAGGAGCCTTGCATCCATTAAATTCATCAAGAAGGAAGCCTACAGTTGACCAGGTATACCTTTCTTTCACCAGTGGTTATTACCATACTAACGCAAAATGACTATCAGATATACATGGAGAGAAAAAATAATTCTTAGCAAATAGCAGAAAAAGAGATACTAAAATAACAAGAGAAGAAATGGCAGAAAATATCATTATAAAAATGATATATAAACAGTCTAATAGTTAATTATCTTACTCTCTTACAAATAAATATACAAGAGTACTTCAAAAAGTTCATGGAAAATGTAATTTCCTTTTTTAAATGGGAACAAAGACCTTTTTTAAATGGATGCATATTTCATCATAATTTGTATTTTACACAAACCTCCTGAAGATCATTCATATGCTTGGATTTCAAAGTTTTACATCAGGAGTCAGCGTTGTGGCAGCAGGCAGGTTAAGCTGCTGCCTGCAAGGTCAGCATCCCATATTGAAGTGCTGGTTCAAGTCCTAGCTGCTCCACTTCCAATCCAGCTCCCTGCTAATGCACATGGGAAGCCAGTAGAAAAGCCCAAGCTGGCACTGTGGCATAGTGAGTAAAGCCACTGCCTGTGGGGAGCAACCCGGACTAGACTGTTACTGGAATTAAGACTTATTCTATGCATCTGCTCTCCCACAATATGGCGCTGGGAGAGAAGAAAACAGCTTCTACGCAGCTGCCTCCAGTTCAACCAATAAACTGTAGGACTTGCTCCTGATTGGAGGAGAGCAGCGTACTCGGCGTGTGGGCAGCCGAGTTGGGATTGGTGGAAGAGGACTATAAAGGAGGAGAGAGACGGCATGCACCAGGAACATCTATGGGGAACATCTGGGGGGAACATCTGAAGGAACACCTGTGCAGCCCCCGAGAGAGCCGGCCGGCGGTGTGCCGCTCCCCTGCGGAAGTGGGGAATGTGGCCAGGGGGAACTGCCCTTCCACGGAGGTGGAAGGGATAGTAGCCAACCCGGGAAGAACCAGCAGCAAACCCGGGGAGGGCCGAGCAGACGAAAGAACAGCGCAGGGTCCTGTGTTGCTCCTCCACGAAGAGGGGGAGCGACAACTGCCTGCAGTGCCAGCATCCCATAGGGCACCTGTTCGAGTCCCAGTGGCTCCACTTACAATCCAGCTCTCTGCTATGGCCTGGGAAAGCAGTGGAGGATGGCCCAAGTCCTTGGGCCTCTGCACCCACATGGGAGACCTAGAAAAAGTTCTGGCTCCTGGCTTTGGATCCGCGCAGCTCTGGCCATTGCAGCCAATTGGGGAGTGAACCAGCAGATGGAAGCCCAGCCTCCCTCTCTCTCCTCTCTCTCTCTCTCTCTCTCTCTGCCTCTCCTTCTCTCTGTGTGTCTAACTCTGTCAAATAAATAAAATAAATCTAAAAAAAAAAAAAATGACCCAAGTGCTTGGACCACCTATCAAAGAGACTTGGATAGGGTTCCTAGCTCCTAGTTTCAGCCTGGCCCAGCCCAAACCGTTGCAGCCATTTGATGAGTGAATCAGTGGATGGAAAATATCTACCTCCCTCCCTCCCTCCCTCCCTCCCTCTCTCTCTTTCTGGCTTTAAATAAATAAATAAATCTTTTAAAAACATTTGCACGAAACATACTTTTCTTTTAATTTCATTTCCCATAAATTTCTTATATACCTTCATATAGTGGGAAAGTCAAAAGCGCACCAAGAAAAGAGACATTTAAAACCAAATAAAGGGGCTGGCACTGTAGCGTAGTGGGTAAAGCCTCCACCTGCAGTGCCAGAATCCCCTATGGGCACTGGTTCAAGTCCAGACTTCTCTACTTCCGATCCAGCTCTCTGCTACGGCCTGGAAAAGCAGTAGAAGATGGCCCAAGTCCTTGGGCCCCTGCACCCATGTGGCAGACCCCGAAGAAGCTCCTGGCTCCTGGCTTCACATCAGCACAGCTCCAGCCATTGCAGCCAACTGGGGAGTGAACCAGCAGATGGAAGACCACTCTCTCTCTCTGCCTCTCCTTCTCTGTCTAACTCTGACTTTCAAATAAATAAATAAATCTCTAAAGAAAAAAAATAAAGTCAAATGTTTATTTGACAATATATTTACTTTAGTGTATTTTGTATATACTTGAAATTTTCCATAATAAAAAAATATATTCAGGCTGGCGCCACGGCTCACTAGGCTAATCCTCCACCTGTGGCACCAGCACCCCAGGTTCTAGTCCTGGTTGGGGCACCAGATTCTGTCCTGGTTGCTCCTCTTCCAGTCCAGCTCTCTGCTGTGGCCTGGAAAGGCAGTGGAGGATGGCCCAAGTGCTTGGGCCCTGCACCCACATGGGAGACCAGGAGGAAGCACCTGGCTCCTGGCTTTGGATCGGTATAGTGCGCTGGCCGCAGCACGCCGGCTGTAGCAGCCATTTGGGGGGTGAACCAACAAAAGGAAAACCTTTCTGTCTGTCTCTCTCTCTCTCTGTCTGACTCTGCCTGTCAAATATATATATATATATATATATATATTCAAAAGACAATGTCAGAAAGTTACCATTAAAGGCGTTCTGATCTTTATCATTACAAAAAATTTTTATAAGATTTATTTCATTGATTTCAAAGAGTTATACACACAAAAAGAGAGAGAAAGAGAGAGAGAAAGAGAGGGAGAGAGGTCTCCTATCCACTGATTCACTCCTCAAATGGCCACAATGGCCCAAGCTGAGCCAATCCGAAACCAGGAGCCAGGAGCTTCTTCCGGATCTCGCTCGCAGGTGCAGGGACCCAAGGCCTGTGCTATCCTGCACTGCTTTCGCAGGCCATAGCAGAGAGCTGGGTCAGAAGTGGAGCAGCCGGGACTCGAACCGGTATCCACATGGGATGCCCGTACAGCAGGCTGGGGCTTTAATCCACTGCACCACAGCGCCGGCCCCACATTATAAAATTCTTAACAAGACTAATTTTGATGTAATGTTCTATCTTTATGCATAAATAGATGAAGTCCATGTGAAATGACAAGAGTCATAATTAAAATGAAAAAGAGAATTCCACAAACATAAAACAGAAAAGCAATTGGTAAAGAAATCAAAATATGAATTTCACTAACCACACCTTCATAGTAAGCAATCGGTTGGCATGAGTATTTCTAAAACATTTTCTTTTCAATTAAATATGATTCTATCCTGGTGCTCAGTATGAGTCAGTTCTGTATTCAACTCTAAGAATAATATTTCATAGCAGCACATTCTGAGCAGTAATAAACTAGAGGTCCTGGCAAAGGACTAAGAAAAGTCTGGAAACCATTTCACATGGAAACTGAATGACAATGATGGAGAGAGAGAAGAATGGGCAGGAAAGAAGAGAGAAAAACAAGACAAGATAGGATGCAGATGGGGTATTTTTATTTTGTTCTGAGAAGAATAAAAGCTAATGGATAATTAGAAAAAGGAAAGTCAATGAAAAGTACAGGCAGAAAATATGGTTGCTTTGCAAAATAGTATGATTCCTATCACTAAAATATTCAACTAGTCATAGATAGTCATCTTTTATACAGCATTAAAAACATCTGCAATGAGTGGGAAACTGGCTTACATTGCTACCAAGACCACTTCCAATTCTCAGGTTCTTCATTCTAGTAAAACAAATTTGTTAAGTAATTGAATGTTTCTATGTCACTAATTTTGGATAATTTGTCCCTTTTTTCATATCTCAGTTATATCAAAAAGCCAGATTCCCAGAAATATTCTTCAGATCTCATTTCTAGAAGTATATAGGCTTGTCAATACAGGTCCTTAAAGATGAAAGCATACATTTACCAAAGAGCACAGAACAGGTAATTCAGGCACAGTGTAAAACATATACCCCAGTTCAAGATGCTCTACCTATATGTTGCTTTATTTCCTATACAAAACAAACCTTTCGAAAATGCCACAGGAGAATTCATTTTAATTAACTTTTCTCTGCCTTGATTACAGGAAAGCGTATTTATGAGTCACAAAGGGAAGACTCACTCTAGTCACTCCTTGCTAACACAAAGTTAAAGCAGGTCAACTGTGACCTCAAATGATCACTATGAAATATATTCTCAGATTCCCTCCAAAAGCTAAGCTGCATGATGCTTGGATCCCAGCCAAACAACTAAACCTAATTATGGGATATCAAGATAACAGAATCACTACACTAAAATCACAACATACTAACAACAAAAAAAAAAACTTTTATTTAAAATTTCTCTCCCAACCCTTACCCCCAAAACGCTTCAGCACTTTATTAACACCTCTGTTACTCACTTTCCATCCATATACTTTGAATTTTAAGATTTAATAAACTTGTCTTAACTTATTTACTATACTGTGGGCTCTCAGGAACAGGTTTCATGGGGACAATGGCATCCGTCCTTAGGGGACACATGGAAACAGGAACCCAGCCAACAATCAGCTGGTCAAGCTTTGCATCCTCACTGCTGTATCTGCACACAGACATACTTCTCTTTCTTTTTTTTTTTTTAATATTTATTCATGTTTATTTATTAAAAAGGCAAAGAGACATTCCCCAAATACACTGACTGCTAGAATAAGGCCAGGCAATGCCAGGAGCCAGGAACTTCATCTGGGTCTTCCATGCAGGTGGTAGGGACCCAAATACTTGAGCCATCATCTGCTGCTTCCCTGATGTATGTGCAGAAAGTTGGATCAGAAGGGGAGGCTGAGGCAGGAAACAACTGCAGACAATCCAATATGGAATGTGGGTGTCCAAGGGGTGGATTAACCTGCTCTGCCATAACACTGATCCAGTATTTTTATTATTATTATTTTAATTTTAATTAGTTTTTTACAGATTCAATGTGCTTTGTAGGTAGAATTCTAAGAATATAATGATATTCCCTTCCTCCATCACTTCCTCCCACCCTCCTTCCTTCATTTTTCTTTAAATTGGCACAAAAAGGTCTTTTTGTCCTGTACTCTCCAAGTGTCTAGCACAAAGAGAAGCTTACTTGATAAATCTTTCTTCAACGAAAAAAGTTTTAATTCCTACCAATCAAAAAATGCACAATGTTGAATCACATTTCTGTGAATTTAGTTAACAGTACTTATACATATTAGTTTTAACTCTTGATTCGGTTCCTTCATCTTCTCTAAAAGATTGCATGCATTTCTAGAGCCAGGATTGTATCTGTGTTTGTCAAATCACGTGGGTTCTAGAACTACTTTGTATATGACAATAACAATCACTATGCAGATGCTAGTCAAGAAGGAACAAAGATTTTACCTGCAAACATGGAAGCATGTCACAACACAGCTGAAGAATCTGTTGTTCCAATATCGATGGCTGCTCTTTGTCACAAAGAACCCGGGGTTGAAATAAGACTTTTAGCAGGGCTTGTCGGAGTTTAGCATATTCTTCTAGCTGGGATGGTTCACAATATAGATACCACAGAAATGGTGCCATTATTTGCATACATGAAGCTTCTGACCTGCAAATCATGTAATACATTAGCCAGTCACTGAGTTAAACACATAACCAAGCAAATAAGTATACCAACTTATAGCTCATGTCATATCATATACTACCCTACCACCAGATTCAACTTTTATGATTTTCTATTCCACTCTAACCTACCTAGAAGAATGCTAAACACTTCTTTGTGCACTGGAAAACATGACTCAACACTGGGAGCCCATAAGCAAGATGCCCAGGAGACAAAGGTCTTCAACTGAGCAACAGAACAGCATCCAGCTCTCAAGGAAGTCTCAGATAAACACCAAAATCATCTGAGAATCCTTTTTAAATTATAGATGTCAAGATCTCCTCTCTGGGAGTACAACACAGAAACGCATTTTAGAAAAACTCTACAGGTGAGGACCTATAAAACAAATCTAGAAAAAAATCTCAAGACAATTCTGACAGTTAATATACATAGTATCTCCTTTATCAATGGCTTCATTTTCTGTGGTTTCCCATGGCCAACGTTGGTCCAAAAATATTCCAGAAATAAACAATTCACAAGTTATAAATCATTCTGCACAGTATGAGGTAATCTCACACTGCCCTGTCCTATTCTGCCCAGATCCACCATCACAGTACAGAGTATCACAGTGCTAATTTTCAAGGAACTTACCTTTTATCTAATAATGGCCCCCAAAGTACAAGAGAAATAATGCTGGCAATTCAGAGATGCCAAAGAGAAGCCAAAAAGTGCTTGTATTAAGTGAAAAGTTTGGAACTTCTAAACTTATTAAAAAAGGAAAAAAAGTATGCTGAGATTGCTAAAATACATTGTAAATTACTGTTGTTAATCTCTTACTGTTCCTAATTTATAAGTTAAATTTTAATCTAGGTATGTAAATACAAGAAAAAAATACTACTGCATGGAAGAAATAGCATTTTAATTATGCTTGCCAATATAATTTTATAATACCATAGATTTCACAGTAATGTGAGTTTAAAACACTCAACAATAATGTAAATTTAAAATATATCAATAAGATTTAATTTTATGCACTCATTTATTCATAGAAAATTCACTGGTCAATTTATTGACCATTTGCAGTATAGTAATCACTCGTTTAAATGTTGTAAAGAAAGCTAGAAACAAATGTACAGTAAGTTCCTACTCTCATGAAGCTCAGTTTAAATGATTTTTTTTCACCATAAGTATAAATACCTATACAATCTATAAAATTCAAAAGAAGGACTTTGAAGTTCATAAATACATATATTTTATCACACCATCCACTTTAGGAAACTAGCTCCATGAATGAAAGAATCAGATAATGCATGTATGTATTGGAATATGGAGTGAAACTTTTCAGAAAATAGATATAAGAAATATTGTTTCACTGTCTTTCTCTAATAATGTATTCTCCAGAGAATAAATACTATTCAGATGTCAAGAGCATCCACAAATATATCATGAATAGCTATGTACACTAGAACATCTCAGTGTTCTTCCAATTTGAGATCCTGAAAGTAAAATGCATGGTTCACGTAAAGCAATACATTTTCGGGGCTGGCACTGTGGCATAGCAGGTTGGGCCTCCGCCTGAAATGCTGGCATCCCAGTTGAGCAACAGTTCAAGGTCCAGCTGCTCTGCTTTCAATCCAGCTCCTTGCTGCTACAGCAGGGAAGGCAGCAGGAGCTGGTCCCAGTGCTTGGCCCACGGCACCCACATAGGAGACCTGGATGAAGTTCTGCTCGGCTATAGCAGCCATTTGGGAAGTGAACCAGCAGAGGGAAGATCCCCCTCTCTCTCTCCCTCTCTGTTTCTCCTCCTCTCTCTGTAACTCTTCCTTTCAAATAAATAAAAAATCTTAAAAGGAAAGAAGGAAACAAAGGAAGGAAGGAAACAAAGAAAGAAAGAGAGAGAAAAAGAAAAGAAAGGAAAGAAAGAGGAAGAAAGAAAGAAAAGAATGCTTAAAAATGTAACCAATTGTCTACATACAAGTCTTTTATATTTACATTCACTCCTAAAGGAAAAGTAATGGAAAAAGACCTAGAATGAGTCAAAAAAAAATGGGCTTTAGGCCCAACTCCACTAGTAACTTACCATGTCACCTTGAGCAGGTAATTTAATGTTGCTGTCAGGTGAAAAAGTACATGTTAGACTAGATAACCTTCATATAGGCAGGCCTGAAGTCCCTAGTAACAACTGTCAGTTCATATAATTCTTAGTCCTTTAAATTAAATGGAGTCCCAACATCACAAGCCTCAAGAAATGAATGCAGAACTTAATTTCCAAAATGTCAAAAAACATCTAGCATGGAGGGATACTGTCATTTCAGGATAACTGATTACTATTAAAAATTAATATAAACTAGTTTAATAAACAATTCTTAAGAACCAGAATATAGAATATCTTCACAACATTTTGCTTCCTTCTATTATCATGAATCACTATTCACATAGTTATTAAAGTATCAATGTGCCTGCATTACCTTCTAAACAACTTCTATGTAACTAACTATAAAATTAAATCTTAGGAAACAAATAACCTGCTAGAAAACACAACCAGAATTATCAATTTCACCCTGTAAAGAAAAATCCCCCAGTAAAAAAGTAGAAGTAAGGTGTCTAAAATTATTCCATACAGATAAATACAAAACTTTCAAATGGCTCCAAATAGTATACTCCAATATCTGAAAATATCAGTGAAAAGATTGAGTCAATGGCAGCTTATCAGTAAATAAACCGAAATCAACTAAAACTTTTTGTCCTGTGAATATCTGGATAAGCTCCATCAGAATGACTTGTAAGTCCCAACAGAATATTCTACTGAGATGAAAATAAACAATGCATTTGTCACTTGTTGACTAACAAAGTTATTTGAAAGGAGATATATTCTTAAGAATTACCCTGAAAACAAGTTTAATAACATAGTGGCGTGGCAGTAGCATCTTTTATAAAGTATCTCAGTCTATTTACCAACAGAGAGAAATTTCATTAAACAAATGTTTTTGTAGGTTTGCTTGAGGTTTTTCTGTTTCTCACAGAGGTGAATAGACATGTACTTGGGAAATATGAACATCTTTAAAAATCTACAAATGTAGATGAGGTTGAAAGGAAGATGATGTTCACTTTTGGGCTAATGCATCCAAGTTCTCTCACTGGCAACTGAGTCCAGGTGCTATTGACTCAGTATTTGTTCCCCCTTGAAATGCATATGGTATTGGAGGTGGGACCTTTGGAACATGATTAAGTCCTTTGGAATGGGATTAATGGGATTATAAAACAGACCCAAGAGAAGTTCCTTGTCCCTTCTACCATACAGGGACACAGTGAAATGACAGCCCCCTGATAACCACAAAGGGGGCCTTCACTAGACACCAAATCTACCAGTCCCTGGATCGCGAACTTCCTAGCCCTCAAATTGTAAGAAACAAATTTCTGTTGCTCACAAGCCACACAGTCTTATACAGTCCCTTGTATCTCTTTAGAACTTCCTGCAGCAATACCTCTCACCTAAAAATTCCACAAATTTGAAATTACATGCCAACTCAGAAATGGTGTTCTAAGGAATGGTATTTCTAGGACACTATAAAACCTTCAAGAACAACAAAATATGAACACAGCTGGGGAGGTGCATGTAACTCAAGCAATACCCAAGTCTCAAAAGTTTCACAGTTAATAGAAAAATAATAATCTTAGAAATGACACCACAAGTTAATAAGAGAACATGAAAGGAAGATGCCATGTCCATCCTGTAGTAAGCAAAAACTTCCTAGGGGCTGAGAATGCTGAATTAGAGATGTAGAAACAAATTAGGAAGGTAGTAGGGTAAGTTTCCTTTTTTTATTTTAAAGATTTATTTATTTATTTGAAAGTCACAGTTACACAGAGAGAGGAGAGGGAGAGAGAGAGAGGTCTTCCATCCGATGGTTCATTCCCCAGTTGGCCGCAATGGCTGGAGCTGCACCAATCCGAAGCCAGAAGCCAGGACTTCTTCCAGGTCTCTCACACGGGTGCAGGGGCCCAAAGACTTGGGCCATCCTCCACTGCCCTCCCAGGCCACAGCAGAGAATGGGATTGGAAGTGGTGCAGCTGGGCCTCAAACCAGCACCCGTATGGGATGCCAGCACTTCAGGCAAGGGAGTTAACCCACTGCGCCACAGCACAGACCCAGGCTAAGTTTCAATAAAACAGATACCAAAACCCAAAAGCAGGGAGAAAACAGAACAGCACTGTTTGCTGTGTAGAACCAAAAGCAAATCAGCATTCTACCACAGCATAAACTGTGAGATGAACATAACAGAATATTAAACTGGTAAGAAAGGTAAGGACAATATCTTGGATGAATACTAACATGACATGTTAGATCTTATCTTTTAGTCCAAGAAGTTTCAAAGTGTTTCAGAAACCAAACCTTTTTAAATTCCTGATATAAGGCTTCCATAAGATATCAAGAAGTAAGTTCTATGAAAACAGACCAGAAGTAGGTACATTCCTCATGCTTAGCCCCATACACTGCAAACATGGTTTAAAAACGAGTGCTGTAAAGATTTAAGCAAAGGAATGATACAAGATTTGTTCTGTTGATATACAACTCTGATGGATGATTAGAGAATGAATTTCAACAGAACAAGATTGGAGGCAGAAACCAGTCAGGAACAGATGGTACAACCACAGCAAGAAATGATAAGGATCTTAACTAGTGCCATGACAGTAAGAACAGGAGAAAGGGGAGCAGCTTTGAGAACCATCAGTTGGCCTTGATGAAGCTAAAGTGCAATATGATGAATATCTGATCTCACTTAGTAGAGTACTACTTGAGCCCAACTGACTGTAATGGAGGTATTAACTCACTAATCAATTTCTGGAAAGAAAAATACACCTTATATATGTACTATGTAGAAGCATACTGAGTACCGCTGGCCAGCTTTCCTACCACTGATGCTTAACTTTCTTAATAATAGCTTTTCTCATATTCAACATTTCAACCACCAATTAATCAGGTTTTTTTCCTCTTATTATTAAAAAGGGAAAAAGGAAAACTACCACCTACTAGAGGACATTTCTTCATGAGGAAACATTACAAACAAAGCAGTTTGAAAAAAAGCTTTAAAATCAGCAAAAACCATTCTGTCTCCCCTCCATTATTTTATTTTATATTACCTTTCAGGGCACTGCTGGAAAAAAGCTGTCAGTTGCTGCAAAAGGACTGGCCAGCAATCAGGTCTGTGTTCAAGCACAGTGATCAGAGGCTGAGGATGGCTTCTGAAAAACACAGAAAGTCACATTGGAAGCTATCATTTCAGGACCCCACATTCTCAAATATGTACAAATACAGCAGCAAAAGAGCCAACATCATCTAAAGACTTTCCAGGACTCAAAACTGTCACACAACTATCACTTGCTACATTTGTCACAGAACTGGCTCATTAAAAATAACTCCCCTTACCCCTGCCCTTGTACCTGTTTTACAGACAGGAAAATGGAGCCTGGATCTCGGGAGAATGGTTTCTGCCATTTAATTGCTCTATGATTCTGGCCAGTCTCCTAAATCCAATAGCCTCTCTCAAATCAATCCCCACTTTAATGCCTTCATTCCCAGAGGGCACAGGCCACCTCCTCCTTCTGCTGCTCTTCTTTCCAAGCTTGGAAGTTTCCACTTCTTCTAACATTGCTCTAATGATTAAGCATTATATCTCCCTCTTTGCTCCCACTAGTCCATTCTTTTCAGTGCATGGTTCTAGTTCCCCTGGCATATTAAGCATGAAAGAAAAAATTCCTCCCTTATTCAAAAACTACCCATCCAGACTAAATGCTTGAAATTTATGTTGAATGGGAATGACCAATTTACTTGGGCAAATTCCATTAAGATATCTTAAAAAAAAAAAAAAAAAAAAAACCTATGTAAAACCCAAAATCTGAAATCTGAAAGATTCTCAAAGAATAGAGATAAAATAAAATTTTAAAAAGAACAGTAATCATTCAAAATAGCTCAAAAGCCTAATAATGGTTGTGAATTCATCAGCTGTTTAAACTATGAAATACTATCCAAGGTTTTTAGTTACCATTAATGTGGGTTTTTCCTTCGAGATTGTTAAAGAAAATTTTAAATCCTCATTGTAAAAAAGAATTCCAGAAATAAAGCAATATCAATCTTTTTATCATAAAAGAAATTGTACACATAAAGCTATTATTTAAACTTAATTTTAAGGCAACTATATCTCTCCAGCAATATTAAAGAATTAGGGTGGAGATTTTGCCTAGCAGTTAGGGTGCTCCCACAATGGAATACTTGGGTTGGATTCTCAACCAGGCTCCTGACTCCATCCTTTCCTGCTAACGCAGACCCTGGGAGGCAGCAGGCTTCAAGTAGCTAGATCCTGCCACCTACAAGGGAGATCTAGATTCAGTATTCAGTATTCATTATCTCCCTCTCTCTCTTCCTAACCCCTTCTCCCTCCCTCCCTCTCTCAATTAATAAAAAAAAATTTTTTTTTTTTTGACAGGCAGAGTGGACAGTGAGAGAGAGACAGAGAAAAAGGTCTTCCTTTGCCGTTGGTTCACCCTCCAATGGCCGCCGCAGCCGGCCCGCTGCGGCCGGCGCACCGCGCTGATCCGATGGCAGGAGCCAGGAGCCAGGTGCTTTTCCTGGTCTCCCATGGGGTGCAGGGCCCAAGCACCTGGGCCATCCTCCACTGCACTCCCTGGCCACAGCAGAGAGCTGGCTTGGAAGAGGGGCAACCGGGACAGAATCCGGCGCCCCAACCGGGACTAGAACCCGGTGTGCCGGCGCCGCTAGGTGGAGGACTTAGCCTAGTGAGCTGCGGCGCCGGCCCAATTAATAAAATTTTAAGAAAGAAAGGAAGGAAGGAGAATGAATTGCTAGCTGTATCTTCTTAAAAGAAAAGTTAGATCATCAGTTATACCCAAATGATTTTCTAAGACTGCCTTTCTGGTGGCTCTCAAGATTTGGTCACCTTATAGCAACATCAGCATCACACAGGAACTTGTTAGGAACGCAAAATTCTCAAGATCTAGCCCAGACCTAACAAATAGTCCTGCAAGAAATCCTGATGTCCTGCTTGCCTACTTGGTACATTATCAGAAGGGCTCCTAGTATCAATGCCCAGGCCTTAGTTATCTTGGAACTGCTAAAAATGGAGTTCATGAACTAGCAATTTTACAAACCCTACAGGAAATTCCAATGTATTTCCAGGGTTGAGAACCATTACAAATAAAATCCACTCAGAAGGGTATGGAGTGATGGAGTGGGTAATGTTCTGATTTAAAAAAAAAAAAAAAACACACACACACAAAAAAACAGAATAATACAGTAGACCTACCACATGTAAACATTCATATTAGACACCTCTCTGACACTGTCACACAGCTTCTGGGTACTATTACTATTTCTTTATTTTCTTCTCAACCTCGCCTAATATATTATGCACTAACCTCACATACGGGCAGCCTCCTGTTTTTTAAAGCATAGGCTATTTCTGGCTGATCAGATTACAATCATTGCAAAGGGATCTTTCCAAACAACTTCTTATGCCAAAAACTCAAAAGTACTATCAAAATCTAGTTTCCAAATTCCAAATTCTTTGGCACTTAAACTTTATCTAGAATATGCTTCCACTCTGTTGCCACAGATATTAACAAACAAATATAACAAATCCCAAAAGCCTCTCCAGTATGTCACATCAGAGGAACTTCTTAACTTGAAAGTTCAGTAGGTCATTTTCAATCAAATCCTCCAAATAAAAAGGAAAGAACAGTTGCAATTATTTGTAATGGATTTTTCTACTATAAGAGCCATATTGCTATAAGGAGCTTTGCATATGCTACCATTCAGTGAATGGTAGCATTTCTGACTATTTAAGAAAAAAATCCAATAAGTTACCACAAAGTTCTTGTGTGATTATAAAGCACTGAAGTGGTTTTCAATATTCTTCCCTTACAAACTATCTCCTTCAGCTTCCCACCTCCCACCCTTTAAAAAAAAAATGCTAAAGATTTATCTCCTTTTTAAACCATATAGTTTTGTCCAAATCAAATCAACACAAATAAGAAATGGTAATTTTAAGGAACACTTAGAAATGATGTACATAAGGCAAACAATGCTACAATAATTTTGCTTCTTGTCCATCCAGCTTGAGAGAACTGCTCTAGTTTCATTGCATGAAACTAAAGGACTGCTTGCAGGCTATGGGAATCAGCAGGTTCTATTTAATATCTAAGCCCTAAAACTGACATTAAGTAAAATGTAGGATAGAGATTATCCGGATTAACCACTGATTCACACATACAGATAATTAACTTTTCCAGGTAACTGATTTTGGCATATCCAAGAGGTAGATCATAGGAAATAATATACAATATTTGATTCCAAGAAGCTGAAAACCTTGGAGAGAGGAAAGACAAAACGAGAACACTGAATCTTCCTGTTGATTAGCATTTGATTACAAATATTTCACTTTTTCAAGTGAATGCAACTAAGCTGAAATCAATTAAAATTACCAAAATTTTGTTTTAATATTTTTAAGCATAATGAAGCAAATACCAGATTGTTCCTTAAGATTCATCAAATTGGTATGTGAATGCACATATAAAATAATACTCATTCACAAAGCCTATACTTAAGTAATGAAGTAGATGGTTTTTCTAATTCAGTAAACTTAATTGTACAATTTTCATGCATGAGAGTTTCTCAGTCTTTGCACTGTTCACATTTTGTGCCAGCTAATTATTTACTGTGAGGGGTTGTCCTATAGGAAGTTTGGCAGCAACCCTGACCTCTACGCATTAAATGCTAGTAGCATTCCCCGTAGTCACAACAATCAAAAATGTCTCCAGACATTCCTTAATGTCCCCTGGTGGGCAAAACTACCCATAGTAAAGAATCACTGCTCCACATAAATGATAAGTATCATGGGAGGCACAAAACCCAACAAAGCATGGTACCAGTCCTGAGTTATTCAAGAACATCATTACTCTACTTTCACATTTTCTTATATTTAACAAGAAGTATACAATCAACCATATTCAAAATTAAGTCTCTTATGGAAATGTAGTTATAAAATATTAATGTTGGGTGCAAAAGACTAACACACACATTAGAAACTAGAAGACTTAAAATGGAAAGCTAATGTAAAATTGTTCCTTTGCAAAATATGGAATCTTCTTCCAAAATAAATGAAATTAAATAATACACATGCTAATTTGGGTATGAGAAAAAATGGAGTTATTTTCCTTTTTAAAAGGTTATAACTAGAGCCAGTAAAATGTCATCAGGCTAACTATAGTTCACTATGTACTCAATGATTGATTATTAAATTTATGGATTATTCAAGATTTTTCTTTTCTTTCTTCCTCTCACTGCTTTTTTAGCCAATCCATCTCTTTGAAGTACCTCCCACTGAAAAAGGTCAAGGTAAATAAAAGGACCCACAATTGAAACAAGGTAAGCTAATAAGTTTAGATTAGAAGTGTTATTGATCAAATGGAGAAATAATGTGGCATAAAAAATATTACAACAAAATCTAGGTTACACCTTCAAATTTCAACTACCTCCAAACCTGATATACAAGTAATGAAAAGTAAACTGACTGCAATTCTTTATTTGAATGATAGATGGATTGACCATACAATCAACCTGACCACTTATAAAACTAACAGTGGAAGACAATAAGCTACACACGTTTTGAAAACAAAACAAAACAAAACAAAAAAACACAAATACAGCATATTGTCACCATTATTCTAACTTATATTAAGTAGTGGTTATACAGCATCATAAGAATCATTTACTGATTTGTAACTATGTCCATCTTTCAGGAAAACACAAGAAGACAGGTGAGATGAAACAGAGTCAAGAGTTTCATTCTTGCTCTGCAACAAATCATGTGATCTAAGGCAAGCAAATTAACCTCTCTTGACCATAGTTTTTGCATCTATAAAGGAGACCAGACTAAGTACATTAACAGAGCAAAGATAATATAAACTAAACTACCCATAAGATCCCTAACCTTATTACTGCCCAGGAGTAGAGGTGGAGCCCAACCCTGTAAAGACAGAAGGCAGTAAGGAAGGCTTTCATATGGCTCTAAAGTCAATGTCTAATAAAATCTAAAGCCTGGAGAAAGAGGCATCCTATCTTTATCTCAAAGAGATAAGCCATACACACACACACACACACACACACACACACAGAGAGAGAGAGAGAGAGAGAGAGAGAGAGAGAGAAAGTGCTACGTCCAAAAGGA